AGGTGTGACAAGGTGGCAGTTAAAGCTGGCCATCACAAGTGCTGATGATCTTGTGGTTGGGAGAATGAGAACGACCCGAGGAAGCTCTGCAACTACAAGGTACAATACAAATGACGCGTATCACTAAAGCAGGGCTCAAAGGGTTATGGCAAAGCACAGGTTTATAAAGGGGGCCTTGCCTGCGAGCCAGGGCTCAGCATTAGGTTTCTCCTTCAAGGGCAGAACTGACATGTGAAGCGTCTGTGGAGGACCAGAAGTCTGAGCTATGCCCATGTGGTAACCTCAGTGTCAAACTCTTGTCTGCATAATCTCAGAGAGGCTGAATGAGTAGATGTACTTCTGCTTCCTTCTGGAGCTATCTTAAAGTCCAGAAAAGAATCAGCAATTTTCACATGTGCATATATAACTTTGGCCTATCGCTATTCTGAAAACTTTTTTTTTTTTGCAATTAATAAACCCTAACCAAGCCAAATAAATTATTTGGCTATTGCCCTGTAATCCATCTGATACTAGATAAACATGAACTATCATGGTTTAATAGTTATTTCAATCTGCATCCCATTTATCAAAACAGTTTTTGCACTAAGTCAAATTTTGGTATACTGTAGATTTTCATGATTCTTTTATAAATTTTTTCTCTTGCTCAAGGCAGCCCTACCAATCAAAAGGCAAGTAAGTTCAGAAGGTGAAAGTGTCTTACTTGGGTATGACAGCAATGCACAGAGTCATTCCCTCTAGGTGGGTGGCCTCTTCTTTGCTGTGATTATATTTTTTAAATACAGTGTCTGCTCTGAGGCACTTTATCTGCAATTAAGGCTGTCTACCATTAGGTGGCAGTAGGGTCATAATCATGATTTTCCGCATAAACTTGACTAGATTACTTCTAGCAGGAGATGGGGGTAGGAATCTGTATTTCTTCCTTTTTCAAAAAAAAAATTGAAAAATGAAAACAGCTACATTTGGCAGTATCAGAGGAGTAATCTTAGTCTTTAGTACGTAATATGAACAAATATTCAGTATTTATGGCCTTTAATAACTCGTCACTAAATATTTAATTGCTGGGATTTAAAAGTATTCTCCCCCACCCAAAATAGATACAGACTTCATTCTAAACCCTCTGAGAATCCTAAGCCTGGGTGCCAACACCTGCTTTTGAGTTACTGGACCCCATGCCCTTGTTTCTACAGTCCTGTCTCCTCCATGGCAAGGTACCAGAGAGTCTGACTGTTTAACTGACAAAGGCCCTGGCTCCCGAGAAGAAGAAAGCAAGGATATGGCGGCAGGCACTTGAGAGTGATGAATGCCAAGACATGGGAAGAGGGGATGCTAAATGTTAACAAGAAAAATGTGATGCTGGACTCTGGGGTTGGGGGTGGCGATTCCTCCTGCTAAGGGTGATCCTGAGATGGAGACTCCAATCAAGAGGGTGGCATTTCCAAAGAAGACCCTTCCGCAATGACACTTACTCATGGTCAGCTACTGCTCACAGCACTTCATAAGGGAGGGGTGCAGAACACATATACTCATGCTGACAGTCAGGCAGCGTCACACAGGTCTCATCACTAGAGGCAACCTGGGCAAGACCACACTGGCACCTGAGCATGCATGTCACTTTACAGCTTGGGCGCCTGTGGGCCAGTACTTAGCTGTCCCGGGAGGGACCATGTTTTCTTCCCTGTCCTGGCTTTGCAGAGGAAAACACCTTTTAGCAAATCAAGTGACGGTAGGTACCACACCTCATCCTGTTCTCAGGTTTAGCTGTGTCTTTTTGACTCTTTGCTTTGTCTGGTCACATTTTCCTGAGAGAGCAGGAGTAGACATGAAAAGATTTATTCTGTTTAAAAGTAGTGGATGGGCCAGGGAAATGGCTGGGTGTGTGGGAGGGTGGTTATAGTATATGCTGCCAAGTCTGGCTACCAGAGTTCAGTCCCCAGACATACATGGTAGAAGTTGATAACCACCTCTCACGTGTTGTCCTTTGACCTCCACATGCACATGAGCATATTCACACACAAAATAAGTAAAACTTTAAAAACATAATATAACAAAAGGAGTTGAGGCGGTTTTAAGCTACAAAGTACATCATCCCAATCACTGCTCCATCTCTCTGTTTGTACAGGTTTGTGTATATGTATGTTTGTGTATATGTGTACATACGTGTGTGCATGCTTGAATGCAAGTATACACACACACACACACACACACACACACACACACACACACATCGAATCCAGAAGTTAACACTGAGTGTTTTTCTCTATTGCTCTCCAGCTTAATTTTCATGCCAAGGTTCACCTCAAGTTCATTGATTGACTTGTCTGACTGGCCAGCAAGCTCCAGCATTGGCATGCCTCTACCTCCCAAGTGCTAGGGTTACAGACTCACACCACCATGTTCGATCTCACATGCATGATGGAGATCACACTCAGGTTCTCATGCTTGCATGGCAGGAATTTAACGCTTGCACACCCCACGGCCATTCTCCCAGCCCTCACTGCTGTTTTATACACTGATTGGAGTAATGTATTTGAATAAATGGCTCTTAGAGTTGGGAAGGATGGGTGATGTTCTGTAGTTCCTTCCCATGGCTTTGTGACAAATGGTCACTCCATGGCTGCCTGTCCCTGCTCCGGGAGACCCTCACTCCTCTACGAGGCAGTTCCACTTGCTTTAGTCTATGACTAGATGGGAGCACATCCTTCTACAAGCTGCCTCCCATCCCCAGTGGGTCAGAACCCTCTTCCTCTCTGCATCCGCAATCTAAGGTCTTGAGTGCTGGTCTGTCTGTCCCTCTTGTGAGTTCCTTGAGATCCACAGTCACCTTCCTTCTCTGTGGGTCCTAAGCAATATCCTGAAGTCTCCCTTGAGTCCTAGAGTAGGGAGAACCTCTTTTCTGTCCCTTGTAATAAGCAAGCACACCTGTCTTGTCCTCTGAACCGAGGGCGCACAGCCTCTGTCTTTGATGGACAGCCCAACTAATCCCTGGATGAGTCCTCAGTCTCTTAGGGTATTTTCTTCTTGGTGCAGGGTTTCCTCAGCTTCTCTTCTCAGCTGGATTACCCTCGCCCTCATCAGTTCTGAGTATCAGGTAGACTGTCCTCAATGTATATATGTCCTGGTCTGGTGAGCAGTGGGACCATCTCCACAGAGCTCTTGTGAGCCCCAGGTCCCAATGGTTCCTCAGTTACTCTGGCGGCTGGGACTGAGGCAAAGCGGGATCCTGTGATTGCACTGACTCACCACTTAGCAGGGTTATTTTATTAATAATAAACTGCGTTATGTTACATTAAAGAAAAGTGCGTGATGGCGAGTGCATGGGTCTACTCTTAACAGGAGTCAGAGTGCTCACTGCCTTGGTGGTGGCTTCAGCGTGTCAGACAGAGTTCTCAGACATGTGACTCCAGGCACAGGCCTCAGGTCTGCAGAGTCAATCCAGTCCCTGTTATCAAGGCATCGGATGTTGTTTAGGGCCCACAGAGGAGGATGGTGACTGTGGACCACAAGGGACCCACAAGAGGGACAGACAGACCAGCACTCAAGACCTTAGGTTGGGAGTACAGGGAAGAAAGAGGGTCCTGACCCACTGGGGATGGGGGGCAGCTTGTAGAAAGATGTGTCTCCCCCGCCCCCCGTCTAGTCAGAGACTAAAGCAACCCAAAGCAATAACAACTCCAATCATGCTTCAACCCACATGGAAGCCTGGCTAAGCTGGAGACTTCCGGTCTAGAGAAGGTTGGAGAACTTAAGATGGAAAGTTAATCGATGTCTCCGACGACTGGCTCATGAAGAATCCCAGCCTCCAGCAGACTGGCTCTGACCACCCAGTGTCTTGCCTGAGTGTTCTCTGAACCTCTCAGCTCCCACTGGCACAGCCATGGTGCAGTTCCAAACAGCAGGCAGGCATCTTGGGTATAGATTTTGAGTCCTCTACTTCCTCAGCCCACTCAGACTTCACACTTTCCCCCCAACCTGTTTTTTGCCTGGAACGGTTTCTCTAAAAGGAACACGAAGCCTCTTTTCTTTCCCTCTTTAGAATAAAACACTCCTCTGAGACCATCTGCCCTGGAAATGCATCCAGATATGTTGGTGGCTCTTCTTCTGAGACCGCAGACCAACACCATAGGTCCCCAGTGTCCGAGCCCTGCAGGTATATGTGTGCCCATTCTTTTTAATTTTTTGAAGATTTATTTTATGTGTAGTTTGCCTTCATGTATATCTGTGCAGTGTGTGTGTGCCTGGCACCTGAGGAGGATAGAGGGGGCATTGAATTTCTTGGAACTGGAGTTCTGGGTACTTGGAATCGAACCTGGGGTCTCTGCAAAACAACAAATGTTCTTAACTGCTTGGCTATCTTCCCAGCCCCATTCATTCTTGTCTACCCTGAAGGCTGCTGTAGGTTGACATTAAAAACTAAAGGGTGTTGGAGCACCTCCTCTAGCACAACGGGGAGTCAAAACAGGCTAAGGAGGGAGGGGTAGGCAGGGGAGGTGGGGCCAGGAGTCCTAGATTCAAGGTGTGCTTCATCCATGAGTCAGCATGTATCTTAGTCAAGGGACTTCATCTTGCCCTACCTAAGCTTTCTTTGAGCCATAGACAGGAAGCCCAGTCCAAGAAGGCTGAGCTAGTCTGGAGTTATGGTAGGTGCCATATTTCTAGGTCCAAGGCCACTGCTCTATGCCCACAGACCTGCATTTCTGCATAGCGCCTGGCAAGGAACACGTTAATATTCTTAGTCTATAAGTAGCTCCTGCGGTTGTAGATAAAATTAAGTGGCGTGGCTATTTTGGTAGAAAGTCAGGTAAAAAAAAAAAAAAGCTGAAAAATAAGCTCCCTGTCAAATGCCAGCCCCCTGCCCCCCCGCCGCACACACCCTGTTCTTTTTTTATGCCCATTTGGTATTTGTTTTTAATTCTGGCTGATTGTCAGTTTTAAAACCTGATGCATAGCGTGGCTTGCTATTCCGGAGGCGTTATTTTAAGATAAAACAATGTAAATTCTGCCTTGGGATGGCAGATGGCTGGCAGTTCGCTGTTTGGCAATGCAACTGGTATGGTATGTTGAGGATTGAGAGCAGCAGGTACAGGGCTCAATTCGAAACCGCCACAGATGCTCGGAGGGAGCGGGGGAGGGGCGCAAGCTGGTCAGGAAATTAAGAACGGTACTGGGAGCTCAGGGGGGGGAAGATGGTAACTAGCTGAAAGTTTGCTTCTTCTGGGCTCTACTTATTCTCTTTCTTTCTCTTTGGCTGCTCCGTGGAAACTCGGGAAGGTCCTTAGACATCAAGAGCAGGGAAGAGCTTCTAATTTTGCTTCAGATCAGTCTGCTGGGCAAAGCTGGGGCTCCTCGGGAAACTGAAAGGTGAGGACATAGCGGATGAAGGGAGTCTCGGATGTGTTATTCTGCAGAGACTTGCAAACTACAGCATCAGGCAGGGAACCCGAACCCCGTAAATGGCATCACGGGAAGGAAGAACCAGGGTCTGAGACAGACAGGCCTGCACAGCACTGACAAAGGCGGTGCCTCTCATCTGAAGATCCCCCTCCCACCAAGTCTTCCACTGACACATTCACTGTGGGCCCAGAGAGTGTGTAAGGTGTTGGTGTGCTGACCTGGAGAGGAAACAGGTTGGGAGATCCATTCAAAGTCAATGAAGACATCTGAATGCTTTTTAAAATGGTCTCTCACCCAAGGCCCCTCCCCTTAGATGTCAAAGGGGTTCAAAAAAGCAAATTTCTTGGAGTATTTGTGTGTGTGTGTGGGTGGGTGTAATTGTCTTGTGTGTGTACATGTGATTGTGTGACTGTGCATTTATGTGTGTAATTGTATGTGTGATTGTCTTGTGTGTAGGGGTGATGTGTAATTGTCTTGTGTGTGTGTACATGTGATTGTGTGACTGCATTTATGTGTGTGTGTGATTTTATGTGTGATTGTCTTGTGTGTGTGTGTGATCTGAAGTATAAATTTTTTTTTAACTCTTACAGTGCTGGAAAGAAGCAAAGATGCTCTTGCTGGCAGCCTCAACTCTCTTTCTAGGATGCCAAAATGAATAGGAAGACAGACCTGGGGAAGCTGGGGCTGTGCAGAGCTCCTGGGTGAGACTTTGAGCAGTGTCTCCTGTGCAGCTGCTGAAGGGCCCCAGCACAGCTGAGCCAGGGGAGCTGGCTTGAACGGTGTAACTACACAGGAAGCATCCCTCCTGAGGTGCTGGTGAGCAGCCTAACAAAATTCAGAGCACCGTGGTCCTGAGGAGAATCACTGGGTGAGGGCAGTAGGGCTGAACTGGCTGTTGGATTACATCTAGTCATCTGAGCAGAAAAGACAAGCTAATCAAAATGTGGATTCACAGAGGAATTGCTCGTCTGGACCCTGAGTGATGAGCAAATGGTCTTTGAGGTTTCAGAGAATTCAAAGGTGTGTGGTGTCTCCTCAGCTGAGCGTGGCTGGGATGCAGTCCACACCCAGGCTTGAACCCTCAGCTAAATGAAGAGTCTGCTCCTCTCTGCAAACTTTTAGTAACTTTGAGTCACTCGGGGACAAATGGATGATCCAGCTGTGGTTCCTGCCCTGAGTACCCGCAGCATGGCTGCACACAGACACATGAGGATGTGACCCAGTGGCTGAAAGAAAGAGACCCTGAAGGGCTGAGGGGCTCTGAGCTCCTGGCTCCTCTGGGAGAGGTGACTTTGCATAAGGGCTTCTTCCCCTTCTGACCTACTGCTCTGGGGAGGAACACAGTATCTTCACCCCCCCCCCCCTTGTCCATAGCAGAACACTAGAGGGCATTTCCCCTGATCCACAGGCCAGAGACAGGGCATCTCCCACAGAAGAGGCATGCGAGTTTCTGGAGACAAGGAAGTCTGTAAGAGGGTATGAGGCAGCAGAGAGGCAGTTCTGGGGAACGCTCTGCTGGTTTTGGTCCCGGCCAACCATGCCAACCATGCCAACCATATTGGCGAAGGACTGGCAAGGATTCCCAAATGTGTCCCGTGAGTACCCTTAACACCAAATGGATCAGAAAGAAATTCCTCCACCCAAGATGCTGCGAAACAGCACGGCATTCTGTTGTCGCATGGTGACATTTAAGTGTGTGGAGAGGGAGGGCAGGGGTGGAAACCAGAACACCTGGTAGAGGTGGTGGGAGGGGAAACTGAAGCTAGAAATGAACAAGGAAAGACAGAGGCCAGGAAGGATCCAGGACCACCAGGCATGAACTGGTCTTCTAGTCTTTGCAGTGATATTTTGCAAAAGGGACCCCATCTGAAACCACCCTCCTCTCTGGTGGCAATGGTGGAGAGATAAGGAGAGAGCTTCTCTGTGGGTGCTGGGGTCTCTGTGGGTGCTAGATGATGCTCACCTACAGAACAAGTGTCATAGAATTTCTTTCTGGCAGTGGGCCGGCTGCTGGGAGTGCTCCCATTTGCTGGTGGGAGTGCTCCCATTTGCTGGTGGGAGTGTTTCCTGTTAAAGGCAGTCACATCTTAATCATTTCCATTGTGACAGGCATGGCTACAGATGTGTTTATTATCAGATTAATCTTGTGGCAACAGAGTGATGGTGGGATTTTTACACCCATTTTACCGGTAAGAAAACTGAGGCTCTGAATTGACTAATTCACCTAAGTCTCACAGAAAGATAGAGCAAAGCCAGAATGGAAACCTTGGCTCTCTTTGTCTTGCAAGTCAAGCGTCTTCACTCTGCTTCCTTGGAGAAAAGAAGTCCAGAAAAATGAAACTGCAGTTGGACAGAAGAGGGAAAGGAAGCACAGGGTGCAGGAAGTTACTTCCTCCGGGAAATGGACAGGAGGGCAGTGACAAGAAGGTAAGATGCATAGAAGGGTGACACTCTCATGTTTAACATGTTAGGTGTATGTCAGGGACACATGGCTCACAGAGTGAAAATCAGAGTGGCTTAACAAAGTAGTTTATTACTATTGTGTGTGTGCACTGGGTAAGTGTGTTCGTGTGTGTATAAGTATGTGTGTGCGTGCATATGTGTAATGTATTTGCATGTGCATGTATGGCTCACGTGTGTGTGCATGTATGTGTGTGTGTGTGTGTGTGTGTACTCAAGCATGCAAACCATGGTGAGTGTGAAGGTCAGAAGATATCTTTGTGGGACTCAGGCATTGAACTCTGATGTCAGGCTTGCTTAGCAAGTCTTTACCGGCTGACCCTTCTCACCAGCTCCCCAACTAACTCAGTTATTTTATGTCAATAGCTGGTTACTGGGTATACGTTTAAACAAAGAGCCAAATGTAGATGGCTCTCCAGGAGTTGTGAGGAAGGCAGAGAGTTCCTGAGCAGGCAGGGTGTCATCAGCAAGTCTCTCAGCAGCAGTTCCTACTTCTGTCCTGAGTCTCCAGTCCTGAGGATCCTTGTGAGATCAAAGGACAGGTTGATGCAACCCAGGACCCAAAGATATCTGTCTCCCTGACAGAGAAGAGTCAGAGTCTATGGGATCATCCTTTACCTTGCCCCAGCCATCAGTGTGTAAACAGGAATTAGAGACTCGAGCTGAAAAACAAAGTCTCTGTTCCAGGCCCAAACCTCTCCAATGAAGTTTAATGAACTTTAGACACAGACTCCAGAGCTGCCGGCCAATCAGGACTGGGAAGCTATTAATGTGACTCATGGTAGCAACAGGAAGGCATCGCTGCTCTTGGCTCTGCCTTTCCTAGCGCCGCGCCTTTCAAAAGGCCTGTTATCTCGGGGAAGGTAGCAAATGTCTTTTGAATTATGTCTTCAAGAAACAATACTTTTCTGCTCATTAAATGTGGGGGTGGTGAGACAGGACCGTGAGCTGTGAGCCGGCAGGACAAAGGCAGAGGCCACCAGGGCACTGCTCGGCTCTATTAGCTGGGTAGGCTGTTTATTGGGTGGAAAACTGCTTTATAATTAGGGAGTGAAGCCAAGGCACAGATAAGTGGCTGCTGAAGAAAGTGCTAGAATAGACAGAGGCTCGAGCCACAGGCTTGCTCCACCCCTCCTCCCCTAGTCAGGGAGGTTCATTCAGAGTGGCAGGCAGGGAATTAAGAAAGTCAGCTGAACACTTGTAACTTGGTACCAGAGAGTCCCTGCTCACACCCTGGTGGTGACCTCCTCCCAGACTAGGCCCGGATCTTGAGTCTCTGCAACCTAAACGAACAGCTGTTCTCTTGGGAGAAAAGACACATTACCAAAGCACAGCTTTGTGCTGGTTTCATGTCACATGCAGGACACTGTGAATTACTGCTGGACAGCCATGGCAAGCTCTACTACCATTAGCTTCAAATCCCACGTGGGGATGTGTTCTGAACAGAGGGCAATGACTGTGGCGTTGCCCCAGGGTCCGTAGCAAAAGTACCCCAAGAAATTAAACTCAAAACCCGCAGCTCCTGGCATTTGCAACCCAACTAGGTGACGGGAGAGCCCCCAAAGTACATGACAATGGGCAAGGCCATCAATGGTCATGAGACACTGGGCAGCCAGCCATGCTAGAGAAAGCAGAGTGAAGCCATAGGTATCTGAGGGATCAGCATCAACACACCCGTGGTTTTCATGGCTAAACACGGGGGGTGGGGGGACATGGAAATTCAGTTGAGGCTGTGAGTAGTAGGCTCCACATTTTGTGGAATCACAAAAGAAAAATTTCTACTGAGCAGTCAGAAACCAGAGGACAAGTCAAAGGTCAGAGAAGTACTGTGATGTGTAAGAAAGATGCTTTCAAAACCAAGCCACCGCCACCGCCACCGCCACCACTACAGTTACCGCCACCACCATTGCCACCACTACAGTCACCGCCATTGCCACCGCCATTGCCACCGCCACTGCCACCACTACAGTCACCGCCATTGCCATCGCCATTGCCACCGCCACTGCCACCACTACAGTCACCACCATTGCCACCGCCACTACCACCATTTTAGCCACCACCACCACCGCCACCATCACATGGCTTTTAATAGTTGGTGAGGCAGTTAATATTAGTATAACACCATTTGTAATAATAAATACAACAGTATTTTCTTCCTTATAGGACACGGAAGGTGGAAGATGGAAGCTTCAAAACAGAGACAGGATCTTGTGTAGCCCAGGCTGGCCTTGAAGTCACTATGTAGCTGAACTTCTTGCCTCCACCTTCTGAGTGTTGGATGGGTACCATCATGCGGGTTTCATGTGGTGCTGGGGATTAAACTTGGGGCTTTGCGTGGAACAGACAAGCACTTGACCAACTCAGTCACAGCTTCAGGATATACGTTTTTAAAAATCAGAAAGAAATGAGGAAAATGATGAAGAGGTTCTTTGAGAAAAAGCCAAATGGTGAAAACTGGCAAAGAAGAACCAAGTGACAGAGAATAGGAACTGACCCCTGAGAAAGAAACCAAAGCAAGAGACAGAAAGCATCGACATGCTTGGTAAGGCCGTTTCCCTCACAATAAAGAGAATTAAAACGACATATTGAAAAGCACATGGCATGCTTCAGACCATCAACTCGGAATGACCAGTACCAATATGTGACAGGAAGACTACAGGACTGAAATCAGAGGGTAATATCCTCGGGGCATGTAGGCAAAAAGAGAACATGATTAATAAAGTAAAGGAGATTTTATCATGTGCTCTTATACAGCAATATTTAGTGCTAGAAGAGCTTGGATAATTTCTTACATTTTTCATACTCAATATACTCGCACTCGTGATGAGAAAAGAAGAGTGAACAACAGTTTTATATCCAGTGAAACTACCTTCCGTTAAGGGCATAAACTGCCATCACCACGCAAGAGTTTGGAGAACACCAATTCCATGAGATGAGGCTTCATTGGGAATCTACTGAAAAATGATTCTCAGATGGCTGGGGCAATGATGGGGGAATCAATACAAAGATGGAAAATGCATGATAACAAGGCAGCCACCTATGTGGACAAGACTGTGGTAGAACCGCAAGGGGAAGATGCAATGCGTGTGGACTAGATGGTCGGTTAGTGCTAGCACTGCACTCCTGAGAAACTGGAAAGAAGGAGGCCAACAACATCATGTATGTTGAGGTAGTTTCAGTATTGTCCCATAGGATACTAGTGTTGTTATTTTCATTCTGAAATGATTGTGATAATCAGGGGATGTTCCAATTCCATGTTTTTGTTTTTCAAACAAGGATTCTTGGTTTTGAAGAAAAGAGATTCAAATGAGATATAAAATTAGTTGAGTGAAAACTATAAGGTTTGGAATATGAAATGTCAGTTTGAATTTACAAAGTATTTGACACTTCCCCTCACGTGTACTTTGTATGTATATGTTCCAAGAAACTGAAAAAGAACAAGGAGTAATGACCAATCCAGTAGCAATAAACTTCCTTTGCCAAAGAGATCGGGTCACAGTCTAGTCGTGTGACTATGAGACAATAGACACACTGAACTGCCTATTAAGTTGGTTTATCCAGACTGCCTGTCTCTGAATGTCTCCTTCCATGTGGGTAGTGACTACTTGCTCCAAGCTTCCCAGTTACATGGAGGAACCAGGGCAATGCAAGAGCTCAGCAGTCTGGAGTGGTACTGAGTCCATCCTGATTGCTGTGGGACCCTAAAGGACCTCGGCTTCTGTTAGCTTCAATGTGAATAGGCAGTTTCTCCAAATCCCTTTTGTCAATCATGGAATCAAGTTTCTCTGTTGCTGAGACTCTAGGACCCAGCTCCTGTGGAAGGATGTCATGCGTAATTATGGTCAAATTCCAAGGATTCTCCACTGTCCCACTCTGAACCTCTGTCCTATGATGTCTGGGCCTTTTTGTTGTAGATCCTCGGTCTTGATGGATTCCTGGCCATATCTGCTGTAGAAGCCCTCCCAAGACCCCCTCTCTCAACATCTGCATTCTGAAGCTGGAATCCAACCACCGAGAATCCAAGAGCAGCCTGACTCTACAGCAGCTATGCCATGCAGCCCAGGCCTTCAATCCTTCATGTACTAAAAGAGTTGATAGGGCCTACTCCTGCCTGCACTCCGTCTCTGCCATAGCCTGACATCATTTTCTGTTTCTTACACATAATTAAGAGCTGAGAACTCAGGACTTCCAGAGCTGACAATGCTCTCATCTGGAGCATCCTTTCCCATGACTTTATTTGCTCTGGTTAGGAAACTGAGAATCAAAGACGTGACAGCACGCTTGGCGCATGCCCTATCTATCAGTGTCTCTGACCTGACTGTTCCCTACCTCCTCTCCATCCTTCCACAGTCTCTTGTTAATCATGCATTCTTACTCAGCACCTACATGTGAGCTGTACAAACTCTGTACCAGAACGTGTGCTGAGCAGAGAGGAGCGATGGAGGGAGAGAGATGCTGGAGGAAGAATCCTGCTGCTGCAGATGATGAAGGGACAAACCCTGCCCCCAAAGAAGTAAAGATGGAAAAGCAAAGCTGCCACGAACAACCAGTTATCCCACCATGGGTGAATGGAAGCGTATGGAAAGTCCATGATACTATTGACTCACAGGCCAAGGGCCACAAAAGCCTGCACACTTGTGTGTGCCCCTCCTCCTCTGCGAACTTAGTCTAGGAAACTGTGGAGAAACACACAACCCAAAGGATAAACAATACCGGACTGGGTAAAGCCTGAGGTGCTGATTTAACAGATACGCCGCTTTATAACAAGCAGCAATATTAACAACACAATAAAGTAACATTTAAGGTATGAACGATATTGAGGTGGCTTGAAATAGAATTGTTCTCATAGGTTCCTCTAGCTGAACATTTGGTCTCCAGTTGGTGGCACTGTTTGGGACAGTTGGGGAGGTGTGGCCTTGCTGGAGGAAGCATGCTCCTAGGTGTGGTTTCCACAGTCCTGCCACTTCCTGTTTTCCTTTCTGCTTTGTGGTTGCTGTTGAAGCTCTCTCAGCTTCCTGCTACTTCTGGCCACGCCTCTGCCCTGCCGTGATGGACTTGAATGCCCGGAAACCATAAACTACAACAAACTGTCTTGTTTTCTTGGCCGTGGTGTTTTATCACAGCAATAGAAAAGTAACTACTACAGATAGTAATAAAATAGTGACCCAAGAAAAGTTACATTACAAAACAGAATGTATGTTATTGTAGGATCTTAACGCTTAAGGTGTTGGTCACCAGAGGAAAGAAACACACGTACAAAAATACTTGGGAATAGGTTGTGAGATGGTTCAGAGGGCAAAGGTGCCTGCTTCTAGGCCTGATGGCATGGGAACTGTGTGGAACTGTCTTCTACAAGCTGTCCTCTGACACTCGGGAACACTTTGTGGCAGGTCCACCTCTACCTCACCTCACTCCACAGACAGACAGACCACACACACACACACACACAAACAAATATAAAATATAAAAATTATTAACAAAGCTTCATTTTATTCTCTTCTTGATGCTTATCTGTGCTTTCCTTAGTAAATGTCCACTCACTGCAAAAACAAAAATTAAAACAAAATTCTGCTCTTCCAGAAAATTCCTTAAGAATTCATATGACCTTCACTGACTCACCCTTGCTGTGTGTCCTGAATCTGGGTGTTTAGTTTGCATTGTGCAGTGGGGTTTCACAAACAATGGGGACTCCACTAACTTGAAGCACAACTGTGTGGGAACTCATCTGGAGGCTCCGCAAGACCTCAGTGAGCCAACTTCTCTGCAGAGTGGGAGGCGAGCCCTCGTGACGCAAGAGCACCCTTGTCCGGGGCTTCATGCCAAAATCAAAATGCTGTATGTAAGGGATGGTAATAGCTAAAGAAAGATACACGAAATAAAGGCAGAGTGCGCCTACGTGTTCACCATAGTGGCAAATGCTAACCCATAAATAGCGGCTGGGGCTGGGGTGGCGCAACGAGGTGCATGCAGTGTCCTGCATGAGAAGTGCATGCTGGGACAAGTTAACACATTGTCAAAAATCAATGAGATCTCACTGTGGTTCTCTTCCTTGTGCTTTGGGAAATTTTTCTGACACACTAACGGTCCTGCTTCCCTTTCAGAATAAGGCTGTTTACATCTTGAAAGTGTCTCATTTCATCGTTTAATCTTGTGGTTTTTTGAAATACAAATTTTCCTACACGTTACGTGGGAAAATATCTGTTTATTTCTGTGTGTTATTGTCCTGTGTAGGGTTCAAAGGCGTTTTGAAGTGGATAGCTGTGCATGCACTTGGCATCTCGGAACACAGAAGGTGAAGGGCAATGAGTGTGTGTGGAAAGTGATGGAGAGACGAGGGAGGGGAACAAGGGGGAGAGAGCGAGAATGTGATTCTCATCTTCTCAAAGTCATTGTCTCCCACCAAACACATCCGGGTTTCCAATGCAAAACTGTCATTGAAAGGTGGTGCCTTAGCTACCCACAAAAATCACACCAAAGAGCAGAGGAGTCGGCCACCCTGCTCTCCAGGGCTGATTCCCGACACAAGAACAAAGCCCTCAGTTCTAAATCTAGGTGATACAGCCTCTGAGGTGGGAAGGGCGGCCATCTCTGGGGCCCCTCCCAGGCCCTCCAGGAAGCAGTGTGGTGGCAACCAGCAGCCCTGACTCAGCACAGCACAGCCATCTCTAGGGAACAAGCTACACAGAAAGCTTACTGCTACTGCAGGGGATGGGGGGAGGGTGGTTCTCGGGCAAGACCCAAGAAGCTGAGTTTATTCGAGATGTTGATCCTCTGTAGAAGGCGGCTCTTTCTCCCCAAGAATGTTCCGGAGTGTGGCAGCTCCCTCGAACAAGACTTTGTTCTGAAGTCTTTGTCTCAGTGAAAATGTGTGCACGCAGAAGCGTGCTCTGGCTGTGGTCCACAGTGATGGAAAAACTGCTGCAGAGAGAGGAACTGCCGTGCTCTCTCCTCCTCCCACCCACATGGAGATGGAGGTGGGAGAGGTGGCTGCGCCAGCGGAAGCACACCCCAAAGACGGTTCAGATGGCCGTGAGGAGCCGGCAACACGGTCTGCCAGCTGAGCACTGTGGATGCTCTGATATTCTGCTGCACAGCGGAGCTGACTTTTAAAAAATAAAAGAAAAAGATAGCCGAGGCCTCTTCCTCCCTCTGGTTGCTATTGGCTCTCCAAAACGCTGGGTCTGGCGTGCTTTCTGATCCCTAGAGTTTGATGCACGTTTGGTTCACAGACTGCAGTGTGTCTGCACCAGATGGCCTTGAGTTAATGAACACAAACTCATCACTTTTGCTCACCAGGGAAATGTGCAGCTCGATCTGATTTGTACTCTACAACTAAAAATATTTGAGTATTTTTAGGGAGCATTTTACCGAGACAAAATGGCACTTCAGGAAAGCATTCAAAACAAGGGACCAACCACCAAATTGCAACCGTGATCTCCTGTGCATTGAGCTGACTCCTTGGACCATGCGCACACCACAATTAAAGCCGTGGGCTACAAGCTGAATATCACAGTGGCCTCATTTTACCCTGTCCCCGCCCCTGATTCCGGCTCCAGTGTGCCGCCCCATGCTGAATTTGTGGTCCCCAAAGTACAGAAAAGAATACATTTCAGATGCTAGATCTGCTGATTTCCATTTTAGAAATATCTTTCACAGGATATATGGTGCACAGGCATGCATGTGCACAGCCTCTATGTATATTTTTAATGTCTTCTTATTCGTATGTTTTTACACATAACGATTGTGGATCCTGAGATGACCCACTAAGTGAACCCTATAGGACTTGCATCTTGTCCCACTCAGCTACGACTCTTTTGGGCTGAGTTTCTTCCGGGACTTCAGCCCAGCCAACAAAGCAGTTGATCCTCGTGATGGATCAGGAAATGGGAAACTGTTTTGTGCGGCTCATTTTCCCCCTCCTCCTCCAAACCTCCACATTTTCTGCCGTTTTATTTAGAAATCATGGCAATTTGGCTCATGAGCATTGAAGTCACAGCTTCATCAGTCAGCTCTGCTCTCTGCGCTCTCTCGGTCGAGCCAGCAGCTATGCGAGCGGCTTCTGCCCTCATTAACTGTGACTGTAGCAACCCGGGTTCACAAAAAGTCACACACACACACACACTCGCGCCACCTCAAACCTGTGTGTCCTCTCCTGGGAGCTCGGCCCCACCCAAGACCTAAAGAGTTTCGGGGGCCGGGTGTGCAGTAGGTTGTGAGAGCAGTTGTGTTACTGTGGGAAGTGGTCATGGAGTTCAGCCTGCCAAGGGTCCCTACAGGCTGCACTGCCCTATGGGGGAGACAGTTTAATCGGGTTTCCAGTGAGGATGTAAGCATCAGGCTCTCATGGATATCTTTCACAGTTGAAAAAAAAAAGATTAAAAATATTGTGTGTGTGTGTGTGTGTGTGTGTGTGTGCGTGCGTGTGTGCACATGAGTGCAGGTGCCCTGGAGGACGGTGGTGCTGGGCCTCCTGGAGCTGGAGTTACGTACAGGCAGTTGTGAGCCACTCCGTGTGGGTCCCGAGAACCGAACCAGATCCTCGGCAAGAGCAGGAGAGCATCTTAAGATGCTCTTAACCATGGAGCTATCTCTCTGGTCCCCTCTTCATTGTGATCATCTACAAATAAAAAGTTACGCCTAGAAGAAAAAACTATCACTATCAGCAACACAGTGCTGTTTGGTTGAAATGAGTTCAGGAAGGGAAATTACCCACGGTCTCATTCGGACATGGGTGTCACATGGGGAGGAAGCTTCCAGCCAAGAAGCTCCAGTGTCTCAGACCAAATGGGGCATTTTATTTTCTTTAGGATGATTAGCTGGGCTGTTTTTTTTCCTGGCAATTCTAGAGCAGATCCAAAGCATTAATAGGGAACAACAGTTTTGTTCAGTAGTTTTAAAGATCTACTAGGTCAGCACCAGGGCAGGCAGTAAGATAACTTCTGAATGCTGACCTTTCCCAGTTTGGCTGATGGTGACTTCGCCAGTCCTGGGTGGTCCTGTGACTGCAGAGGGGAAGCTGGGAACTCTGGGGTAGGAGGCCAAAGGTGGGTCTAACTCAGTGATGCAGCTATGGTGGGTCTGGACTTGTGTAACTCAGAAATTCACCCTTCCGGTAGATTCACGGGACACCAGAGCGTGAAGGGTTTTGCTCTGTCCATCCCCCACCCATAGGTGCCACATCCAAAAGTTTTCAGGAGTCACAAGGACAGTGAGAGGAAAACCAAAGAGGCCCAGACTGACCTTCCCAACACTGTAACCTCATGTAGACTTAGGGTAGGTTAACCCTAGTTGAGAAGTAGTAGAAAACACAGAGGTTTCCGTAGACACAGCTCTCTGTTGGTGAGGAAAGAGAACCATAGGGGGAACATTTGTTTGAAAAGCATTAAAATTCAAGCTTTGAAGCAAGAAGACCAAAGCACCAAGACCACTTAAAGGTCACTGGTTTGTGATCCATGGTTTTACATAGAGGGGAAAGTGCCCCAGATGGCCTAGCAGGTTAAGGGGAAATGAAATACAAATCAAGGCTTTCAGACTCCTGGGCCGAGCAATTTCCCTTAAAATCAGGGCAGCCCAAGGGGAGGCTTTACCTTTACTGAGTGCCCTTGTCACTCTGGACTTTGTGACATTAGGGGCCCATTTGAGAGGACTCTGACATTCTAACATCCAAGAGCTGCCCACAGAGAGCTCAAACTGACCTGTCCCAGACACTAAGGACCAGTGGGTGCTATAGTCTGAATAGAACCCCTTCTGTTGACAGGACTGCGAGCAGAAATGTATCCAACTGTGCTGATGAAGGGGCCTTAGGGACCTGTCTAGATCACCATGGGTTATTGGGACAGAGATCCACTGAGTTACTTGTCTTGTCTCTGTGACAAAATGCCTAGCACAAACAACTCAAGAGAAGAGAGGGGCTTTGTTTCAGTTCAAGTTCAGGAGGGGACACCATCCATTCCGGTGGGAGGGCATGGTGGCAGGAGGATGAGGAAGCTGGCCATGTCTCCTGCACAGTCAGCAAGCCAAGAGAGTTGCTAGTGCTCAGTGTCTTCCATCTCTCCACTCAGTCCTGGATCCAGATCATGCGATGGTGTTGCCCACCTCACTTAATCCTCTCTGGAAACTCCAGACATGCCCAGAAGTTTTTCTCCTAGGTAACTCTAATTCTATCTGGTTGTCAATCTAGCGTATTCCTGAGACCCCATGATTGGATCTGGGTGGCCTGGCAGGGAGAGGGACTAGGGACACATAAAGATACGCACACAATGCACACATACTCCTGCCGTGGGGAGACACACCCGAAGAGCCTTATTAAAGCCTGGGCTATGCTGTTGGGACTCCCAAAGCTGCAAACAAATGCAATGCCTCTTTTCTCATGTGTGTGTGCATGCCTTCGCATACACTGTCTGCAGGTGCACATGTGGGCATGGTATATGCTTGTACAGAATGCATGTGAAGGTCAAAGAACAACCTCTGGACAGCGTCTTTCACCTTTTGTTTGCGACAGGGTCTCTCCTTGGCCTGGAATACTGCCATACAGGCTAGCT